CACACACACATACATACATACAAACACACACACGCACACACGCACACACACACACACACACACACACACACACACACACACATAAATGTGTGTGCAAGCACACACAAGCTCACGCGGGCTTACAAGGACGTTTAAACTGACAGTATATTGCAGAGGGAATATTGTGCAAACGAGTTTTAAAAATGGTATCTGGTGTTGCTCTTTTGTCCTCTTTTTTCTCGATACAGAAAAAAGTAATCAAATGTTGTTTGTTAGCGCACATTGTCCCCGGATCTAAGCCACGCTGTTCCTTTCATGCTTAATCATGGCGAAGAGCAATTGGTTCTGTAACAGAGTAGAAAAACTCTTAAGCGCTCCAAAATTTGGAACTTACTTGAGCTAGTACGCACTCTGTGCTCTCTACTCTCCGTGGAGCCAATGTGAGACATCGTAATGCCATGTAGTAGTTGAGGGTGTGGTGGGGGGGAGAATTTTAATTTAGTTTTATCTGTACCGTACGCCTACACCAGTCGAATCCTGTTTTTAGAAGGAGAACAGATAATTTATTGCGTCGGTGTGAATCAATCCTTTTCAGCACAGGAAATGAAATGTTTAAAAACTGTTGCGTCTTTTCTTATTAACCCTGTGTTCTTAACTGTTTGTGAGCATCTTGTCTTATCTCTGGGAAGGAACAGACACTTCCAAGACCTAGATATAAGAAACCCATGTCAGTTATCATAGACTGCTATCTATATGTGTTAGGCTGTTTCAAGGAAATTGTAAGATATGTCTCAGTAGAATGTAAGTGCATGGATCATGTCCAATAAATCCGATCTCTTTAAACATTTGTCCAGATCAAACAAACTTAAACCTTTTTTTTTTAATGGACGATAGAGTGGGCTGCGTGGATAAGTAATTGTGCAAACGGTTGCAAACCTTCTGGAGCAAGGCTGTCAAACCCAGCCACCCAGGGGTCCAAACTCAGATTTCTAGTAAGGTTGCAGGTCGAACTGGAACAACATTCATTGAGCAGTGGAACACTAAACCATTTTTAACAATATTATATTAATTAAAACTGACAAAAGTTAAATTAATAATAAATATAGGCAGATTAATGTTCGCTCTTCAGCCACTTTGTCAAAGCCGAATGTTTGGTATCTTCTCTAGCCAACAAGTTCGTTTACGTTTTGGGTATGATTATGGGGTTCTCGGGATGGACTTCCTAAAATTCTCTCACTGACCAGACATAAATTGTTCGCCGGGCCTTGAGTTTGACATTTATGTTCTAGAGGGTATCGATATAAGTAACGAAAAGGCAGGGGAGAACAGTGACGCCTAAGCAAAGAGGGAGATCCCAAAATAGAAATTCAGGAATTTGTGCTGTAGATTTGAGTGTTTACTGAAGTTACCCATATTGCAGAGCCTTGCTAACAAAGTTAAATCTAAAGCGATGGACGGGCTCTGTCCTCAAACTTTAGGTCTACGTGAACGTAAGCAAGGAAGCTGATCAGATATGATGGCCATGAAGATACGACCAAGCATTTATTATTGCTATGTTGGTTTTTTTAATGTTCAATAGGTACGTCACTTGATACCTCAGCATGATGTGATTTTCTTTACCATATCAGAATTAGTCAGTTGGCTTGCTTTAACACATGTGCTCTTTCGAAAAGGAATGTTGTCTTGTAAATACCAGGAACCTTGTACTAATACATGTATGTTTTCAAGTGAAACGATGACGATTTCAATGTAACCCACCCAACCTACCCCCTTCACTCTGGCTCTCTCTC